CTTAAAGTAGTTCTATATTACATTTGCAGGTTGCTCATTATTTGCGTGGTGCTTTTGTGACATAACTATTTTAGATTTTTTACTTAGGTATACAGAGCAAAAGTTTTATCTGCAACCAGTCTTTGCACAACTTATGTTAGGGAATTGTGCAAATATTGTATTGAAACTATTTTAAAAATTAGCAATTCTTGTTTGTGAATGACAATAGATGGAAACATTCTTTTGGGAGATCACTAATGTTTTAATTGCAGCATAAGCTTTAACAAAAAGATTAAAGAAATATATTTTGTTACACTGCATTATTTACTTGTTAATATAAGACTGTTTTGTATTAAAATATAATGACACAAATATGTTATTCATAATTCCTTAATATCTATCTATCTATCTATCTATCTATCTATCTATCTATCTATCTATCTATATATATATATATATATATATATATATATATATATATATATATATATATATATATATATATATATATATATATATATAGTTAGTAAGTTTTTCTGTAACTGGCTTAGTAAGCCAGTGAGTATAACTTTAATGATACTGTGTTAGCCTAACACAGTATTCTTAAAGGCATGTTGTCAACTTATTTCTCATGCAGCGGCCGTGTCTGTTGAGGTTCGTTATAGAAAGGGTTGTAGCCACAAAATTAGCCTCCTCATCTGTAGTCGGTGTAGAGGTGAATAATTAAAAATATATATACTACAAACAAATATTAGCAATTTAGCTAATTTCTGGTACTGAAGGTAAAGGTAACATAAAAAAGGTTCATTATCAAAATACTTTTGTATTATAAAAAATAATTGTATGTAAAATTTTATATTATAAAAATGTGTTTTATAGGATAAAAAAAACACTGGTTTTAAAAATTTTTAGAAGAAAAAATGTTTTTGGAATCCATCAAGACCTTTAAGCATATGACGAGTTCCTAATGTTATCAACAAAAAAATTATCAAAAGTGTATCAAATTAAGCGAAATCCTGAAAATTTCAAATATGATAATGACATTTTAAAAAATTAGTGAAAAAAAAATATTACTAAAAATTGATAAAAATATTTCTTTTTATTAGCTTATTATAAGTAACTTCATTTTTATGGCGTTAAATCTAACATTGAAATTTTCATATAATTTTGCTTCACTTAAGACCAACATGATATACTTAAAAAAATTTTTTAATAATATTAGGAACTTGATATGTTCAAGGGTCTTGAGGGAGTCCTTTAAGTATTTTTTATTCAAAAAATTTTAAAAACTAGTTTTTTTTATTATATAAAACACATTAGGTGTGTGGAAGCTAGTGTTGCGAAGGTAAAATTTACCGGAAAATTTTCCGGAAAATTTTCCGGTAAATTTACCGGAAAATTTTGAAAATTTACCGCCTGGTAAATTTTGAAAATTTTTTTCACTTATTTTTTTTTCTTTTTTTTTTTTTGATTTTTTAAAGGAAAATTTACCGTTCTCTAATTAAAATTTACCGGTAAATTTACCGGTAAATTTTACCGGTTAATTTTGAATCAAATTTTACTGGAAAATTTACATCACTAGTGGAAGCATATATTGTTCTAAAATGTTCATTTTAGGAAAACCCTATAAAATAGGTTCTATGATAAATAGGTTCAATATTGATAATATATTGAAGTGTTCTTTACTTTTATTATTTTTGTTACTATGTATATACATATATAATATATATATATATATATATATATATATATATATATTATATATATATATATATATATATATATATATATATATGTATATATTATATATATATACATATATATACATAATATACATAATATACATATATATACATATATATACATATATATATATATATATATATATATATATATATACATATATATACATATATATACATATATATATATATATATATATATATATATATATATATATATATATATATATATATATATATATATATATATATATATATATATATATATATATGTACATATATATAAGTATCCTGGTCACTGTAAAGTGACCTGGATACTTTCTGATACTATAGTATCAGAAAGTATGTGTGTGTACTTTTAACTTCTGTATACAGAAGGTAAAAGTATGATTTAAATACAAAATTACATAATTGTTTTTTATTAATTTATTAGTGCTTTGTTCTTTATACGTATTTGAGAGCATTGAGAACTTTATTTGTAAAATATAAGAACGTAAACAAAAAACACACATATGTACGTATTATATATATATATATATATATATATATATATATATATATATATATATATATATATATATATATATATATATATATATATATATGTACATATATATAAGTATCCTGGTCACTGTAAAGTGACCAGGATACTTTCTGATACTATAGTATCAGAAAGTATGTGTGTGTACTTTTAACTTCTGTATACAGAAGGTAAAAGTATGATTTAAATACAAAATTACATAATTGTTTTTTATTAATTTATTAGTGCTTTGTTCTTT